AGCGGTCTAAGGTATGTACTGTCTTCGCTCGCTTGGAAACCGGGATCGTGGGTTCGAATCCCACCCAGGGAATGGATATTTAGTTTGTGTGTGTGCGTTTTTCTGTGTTTATGTACAGGTAGAGGCCTTGCGACGAGCTGATCACCCGCCCAAGGAGTCCTACCGAATGTGTAAGATCTAGAAAAACCGAAGTGAACGGAGAAGTTCATGGAGGTAGGCCTAGGCCCACTGGGGCTGTAGTGCTAAGGAAAAAAAAGATTGAATGGTCTTAGTCTTCCTTCATAAGAAGCGTGGGATTTACTTGTACTGCAGGACACGAAGACCTCGACGCAGTATAATTAGTGTCGTGACTTGAATCATGAAACTTCCAAATGCGACAGGTTCACTTTAGTCTGTATGTGAATAAAAAAAGGTTACAGATAATGTGCGGATGATGAGTTGGAAACAGAGGAAAGAAAGCCATCATGAGATATTTTAAGAAACTCTCTCAACATTTATAAAAATAACTGTACTTAAGAACTAGCTCTGGAACTCGACCTTGTGTGGCATATGTGAAGTGCTTCATAATAAATGCACATGTTCGATGTTCTTGGTGTCGGAAAGTCCATATCAACATGCGTCCATACAGACTGAGTGGAAATGCGGACTGGAGAGTTTCCATGTGTTGTGTAATATAGTAAATTAAATTCCGTAATTCCTCATTTGGCAGTAAAATTTATTTACATGGGTACACTTAAAAATAGTCAAATATGCCCTAAATGTATACTTGAATTAGCCATCGATAATGCGAATAATGGGAATCGTTTTTTATTGTAGAAAATATATTCTAAATACAAAAAAGGCATAGACAATGCCCATCCGGTTTTCTGTAGCACATTCTTATAAATATCTTATTCTATGTTAGCGGTAACCCCGAGATTTTTATTATGGATCTTAACTTAAATATAAAAGTATACTCTTAATAATCAGTACACTCACTTGTTTTACTTTTCTTACATATCTGTTTTATATAAATATAGGAATCATAACGGGAATCCGTTGCGCTGACCACTCGACACCCTCTATCCGCAAAAGTTGGCACTAAACTCGCCGACAAGCGGCGGTCGCTCGGTCGCTATAGTTCGTTTGCGGACTACAGGCCGCGGAGGAATACGAATACAATATTTAGCTTTACACACAATGGATTTTCTCACATAATCAAGAAATACTAGTGATCTTGTTCCCATTGCGCTTTGAATACTGTAGTACAAACATTTTTATTTTCCTCACGTTAAAAGCAGAAGCGATGCAAGCTAAATTACCGCCCCCTGCGACGATAAATCCTACATATCTTTCCAAATGTCGTTGCAATTAATAACACGGAATTCCCAGATCCTGCGACAGAAACAGTCATTAGTGCCATAACTATTTAAAACAGTTTTATATACGTTGTGGCGTAACATGTCGTGATTACTGCCAGTCAGTGGTCACGCTGACCAGGAGAGCAGCAGAATTTTTTATTTAACAGCAAACCAAAATAGGAAGTTGTAAAATATGCCGCTCCTAAAAATTCGCACAGCCTGTAGCAGCCGCCCGCTTCATATCTGCCGACTCACCAGCCCTGATTGAAAGCATCACTACAGCCCTGTAGTACGATTTGTTTCACTGCGTGCACGGGTATTATTTTTTATTGCTAGTGGGGTGTGACTAAGTCCCTTGTACTGCGGTCACCAGCCCCAGATGATAGGTGAGGGTGATTGTGGAGCAATTGGTGGAATGAAGATTGGCAAGGGAAACCGAAGTACTCGGAGAAAACCTGCCCCCAGCGCCACTTTGTCCACCACAAATCCCACTTGACGAGACCCGGGATTGAACCCGGGCAGCCGCGGCGGGAAGCCAGCGACTAACCGCTTGAGCTATGGCGCGGGCTGCGGGCACGGGTAACTAATTACAATTATTTGTATTTACGTCAAGAAATCTTTGCTGCCCGTTGCACGTTAGCTTTCCAGTTCTGTTTTAACCTCTGATTTAACTCTTGTAGTTAGCCCACTTATTTCTGAAACACGTTGTATCTTGCCATTCACTGTGCTTGTTACTTACTTAATCCGGTCCTCTTATACCTTGCATTGTCGAGGTTGTTTTTTTTTTCATTTTAATCATTTTACAGACGGTAGGACTCCTTGCACGGGTGATCAGCTCGTCGCAAGGCCTCTACCTAAACACAGGACAACATAAACAGAATAAACACAACGAACATCGATGCCCTGAGTGGGATTCGACGATCCCGGCTTCCGAGTGAACGAAGACAAACATGCCCTATACCGTTCGGCTACCGTGACCGGCAACTGTACTTGTACATGACACAATTCACAGATACGAGATACAGTACTGAAACAGACGTGGTGTCGTACAAGAACTGCGACAGTAAAATAGCATGAGCTATTTCTAGCAGCTCTTTACATGAAATGCGTGGTCCTGCACGTCGCTTGCGCTGTCTTTTTGTTCAACATGTTAATGCCAATCATTCCATCTCTCAGGACGGAAGATTTTACTCTCTACACAGAAAGTTTGGTGCGTCATTTTCGCATATCATAGAGTAACCGCTAGTGGGGAAGAAGAAGAAGAAAAAAACGGTATAGGTTATAAAGAAACCGATGAAAAAGCTGTGTTGTAAGCCCTTGCATGCTCCATGTTTGTACGAGTATCACTGCTAATAACACTACCACTGTGGTGCGCTACAAAGATTTTCTGTATGAAAATTTTGATTTCAGAACAGTGTTGGAGGAGAAAGTTCATGCATGGCTCGCTGTAACCGCCGTTATTATACGAAGCCTTTAGCAATTAAAGAAAACAAAGAATTTGGATCTTCTTAGTTCCTGAAGTATCCCATTCATGTCATAGGAACTCTCCTTGCTTTGAAAGAGTGACACAGCGTCTTCCACATGCTGCTGAACACTCTGATGATCTGTAATGCGGGATTTTATATGGCCGCTTCATTTACATGTCTGCTGTCTGTCAAAAATAAAACTTTTCAGTAGTAATGATGTGAAAATAAGTATAAATTGTTAGTTCTTCATGTAAAATGATATATGTCAAACCGAAAATGATTTCTGCTTTATATATCATATTACTTGTAACTTAACAAAACTGTCACTTAAGAATTAACTTCGTATCTAAATTGTATAGGCGTAATCACATTTTATATTAAAAAGGATTTTCCGAATACTGTTCTTCGATTTCTGAACACTTTTCTTTCACGACTTACAATCCCTCTATCTTGGCGACATCCAATCACAGTACTTCCCCTAGAAAATGCGTGTGGTGGAACTTCACAGACGTTTTTATAAGTATTATTAATATGAGTAGTCTTAAAATTTGTGTAATCTAATCGTTCTGAACATTAAAATATACTTCACCACCTTTAAAAGGTAAAGCTATCCATGTAAGAGACCATGGAGGCCCATAAGGTTGTGTGACGTTGAGGTTCCCACATTTTCTAGACAGTCGGCTCGCAGATGGCGGTGAGGTTGTCAGCCTTACGCGCCATCAGCCCTTTATCCCCACGAAGATTCGTGATATTCATTTCTGTAAGAGGTTGAGTCGACTTCAGGGCCATAATGCGGCTAGAAGGCTTAGGTCCATTGAGAAAATCCACCTCCTCGGGACTCGAACCCACGACCTTCCGGCTTGTAGCACTGTGCCTCAACCAACTACGCTACCGCGTGTCCCCATTTCAACATTTGCGAGCGACTTTAATGCTCGGTTTAGGTTACGCATGGAAGCAACACATTCTTTCACTGTCACAGCCAGACCTTAGAGGTTCTGTCAACTATTCGTAGGTTTCCAAAGCTTTCACACGCTTCAGGATCTTATCCTGTTTCAAATAAGGCTCATTGTAATAAAATGATACTTGCTGGTTAAACACAGAAACAGAGAAATGTTAAGTGGTAGCTGACTGCAGCACTAGAGTCAAACCCCCTTCTGGGAATAAATTTGTGTGTAACGGAGTTTTCTCGTGTTTTGTATTCTTTCCATGGACCACTTGTCTGTTCAATTAACCCTAGCAAATGCCTGAAGTTACGTAGCTTCATTACTAATTCAAGTTCGGTAGATGCGAAAGGGTCTGATCCACGAAAGATGGAGAAGAAATTTGCTCTCAAGCTTTTCGTATTCATACCAACTCGCGTTTCATATCTCGTGTTTTTCAGACTTTCCATTTAAATTCTGACGTATAAGCACTAAAGAGACGCCAACTCCTACTGCTTTCTGTATAATGTACAAGATATTATCATCCAAATAGGCCGCGCCATAGCTCAAGTGCTTAGCCGCTGGCTTCCTACCGCGGCGGCCCGGGTTCGATCCCGGGGTCTGGTCAAGTGGGATTTGTGGTGGACAAAGTGGCGCTGGGGCAAGTTTTCTCCGAGTACTTCGGTTTCCCCTGCCAATCTTCATTCCACCAATTGCTCCACAATCACCCTCACCTATCATCTGGGGCTGGTACATTAGGCCAGAAGTGGCCGCAGTACAAGGGACTTAGTCCCACCCCACTAGCAATAAAAAATCATCCAAATATTAACCACGGTCTGCAGATTTTGGACTGTGAGTACCAAAAGTGTGTTTGTTTAATTTGGATCGTAAAAAAAGAAACTCATTTTCAAAGCCTTGAAAAGTAGATGTTTTGCACTTTCGTTTTTAAGGAACAGTCCATTACGTTGAGCCCATAAGAACGGAGTTGCATAATTAAAATTGCTCCATTCTGAAGCGATGAATCCTTCAGATATTCAGTAGGACTGCCTGGACGTGAAATTACGTTGAAAATTGCGTTTTCTTTAATAGTATAAATGTGCTCTACGTGTGTTTCAAGGTAAACGCAAATTGTCAAGAGATCTACCTTCAATTTCTATGTGTTACAGTCACATCTGAAACGTCGGGAACTATATAGAAACGGTCTGGGATATTTTAAACTCTTATGGCTAATTAAGTATATGTTTTGATAAAATGTGATTGTTCTTTGCTTGCAGTTTGGCGGTGGGAAACAGAGAAGAGAACAATCCCAAGAACAATCTCTTGGAACCCAATGGTCCCTGCGACGGGGAACCCACGTAAGTGATATTCCTTGTTATAGCACAGTTATGTACAGGAACTAGGCAAAAAAGTTGATTTTTTATGAACTGATTAACATTTTCTTACCCACGAACCCGGGAACGAAATAGATACACTTGATACATACTGCTCTAGATATATTAATATATCCCTCATAATTCAAAGAAAAATGTCCCTTCAACTTACCAAATTTATTTAATTGTTTAAAAACCCTGACAGTGTACCTGAAGAAAGTCGATCCTTGCCTTTCCGAATTCATATTCAAAATGTCACTCTATCTTTATAAATTTATTAACAATGTCCCAGCACAATTTAAATTCACTGTAATCCGTGCCGAGGATAAGAGTGGTGGAGCTATGCCTCCAATCCTTCATAAGTCTTCAGGGTTTAGTGATTGATTATTTAAATGCAGAAGTAAATTTAACATAATATTAATTTTGGTGTTTTGTAGGCTGTCTGAATCCTACATTAGAATTAGCATATCTTTCTATCTCGCAAATCGATATTCTTTCTCTGTTGCAAAATTTTGTCTGTTTGGGGTGTATACCCAGAATATATGTACCTAATTTCATGCAGTGAAGTTAGTCTGTTTTGTTATGAAATTTAATGAACGTCCACACATACCTACATACCCGTACAGTATACGCTATTAAAACATGAACTGGTATATCCTGGTTTATTGTTAATTTAGGGCCATTGTAATCGCATATTTCAATACTGTATACCCCACAAACTGTTTACTTCAGGCGACTTGTTCCTTATTTAGGGTAGTTAGGCCTATTGGTAATTTCCTTCTTATGCTCCTCACATTTCATTTTCCTTGATGGAAACAGCAGTCGCTTTCTACTTCACACACAGATATAGTATATATATATATATATACACGACTTCACGCTGTTCCCTACATCAGGAACAGTTTATGTTTGGGGAACATCCAAGGAAGCCTACATTTCGGAATGCCTGGTTCCAGCAGTGAAACACTGGGGGGGGTTCTATAATGGTTTGGGCTGCAGTATCGTGGTACAGTATTCCGTGGGCCCCATTATTACATTTCATGGCCGAATTACTGCACGGGAGCACGTGGACAGGCAGGGTAATCATGTGCATCCCATGGTTCAGACGTTATTTCCGAAGAACGATGCAGTTTTCCAAGGCGACAGTTCCTCCATTCACACAGCTGGAACTGTTCAGTCATTGTTTGAAGAGCATGAAGGTGAATTTCATTATCTTCCCAGGCCAGCACAATCGCCATATTTGATCACTGAACCACTGTGATCACTTTTGGAGACTATAGAGTGAGGAACAGATTCCCACGTCCAACGTCTCTGAAGAAACTCAAAGATGTTCTTCAAAAGGAATGGTATAAAATTCTGCTAGAGACTGTACAAAACTTGTACGAGTCCATTCCAAGAAGAATTTCAGCTGTATCCATAATGTGTATATATTTACCGTCTTTTAGTGCATACAATTTCACTTGTCACTTCACACTACATGTTTCGGCATCATTCTGCCGAATAAACTTGTTAAGATCTGTCATCTTACATGTCATATATCAAACTCGTGTGTAACGCCATTCATTCGCTATGGGAGTCGTTCTTCTTACGTTTTAATTGTGTATATACAGTGTTTTATGGTGTGTCTTTCTTATGTGGCTGCGTGCGTTGAATACAACACAGTTTCAGCTGTACTGAAGGCGAAAGGTGATCCAACATCATATTAATAAAGAAATGCGTACAATGTCTGTGTTTTTTCCATTATTTTGTTCAACCCCTGTATTTATAGTATAACTAGTCTAAGGCTTTCACTTCTGTGTTCTGTTGTTTTGCTATTGATATCTATGGGCAGGATCGCCAGATGGTAGTGATAATTTACCTATGCTTCAGTCGGCGTTGCAGCCTCGACCTTTGTTGTCGTTTGAAATCCATTGTTGATACGGTGCATATTCAGTGAAATCTTGGTCTAACCCATAATAATGAATCATTGAGGTTTTTATGGGTGGAAAGTGCAGCTAGAGACCGAAGCTGCTTATTGCGAATGGCTGGCTACATACACAAGGGAAGATTACACGATTTATATGAGAAAAAAAATGAGTTGATGGTGCTAATATCAAGAGCCATTAATACATTTTTAAAGTGTCTGTATTTATTTTGTATCTAAGGCCAAATCACTCAGCCATCCACTATTATAGCTGGTCAAGTTGTAAGTGAAACAAATGTACACTTATCTCTGTTGTTAAGTGGTGTACTGTGCAGTGACCATTTGATGCTCTGTTGCCAGTTGAAAGACAAGATGCGGTACGTACGTTGACGAAGTTTGTTTATAAAGACAACATATGCCGAAAACATTTTCTTAGAGGCAGCACCACTTAGTGCATGTTGTTATTCTAACAGGTTTAAAATCTCAGTATCAATATAGTTGTCTATCCAGAACTTTCCAAGATAGTGAGGTTAGGTAATTCTGAAGAAGTTTGTTTGTAACAAATTTCCGTTTAAATTCCAAGGAGTTTTATGCATGTAATTTTAAGCAACTTCGCATATAAAAGTATGGAGTACACTATATTTTCTGTTAGTCTGCCCTGAAGAATGCAAAGAAAGCTCGGATGATAAAAGGAATATAATGAAATTTAATATTTTCGAACGTAACTAAGCTAAATTAAGCACTGCTTTGATGTGAATAATATGAACCATCATTTTATTTAATACCCTAAATTATACTTTCAAACAAATCTCACTACATATCCAAGGTATTAATAAAATTATGTGAATACTATCATAAAACCCCTTGGAATTTCAATGGAAAGTTGTTAAACTTCTTCAGAAGTACCTAACCTCACTATGTTGGAAAGTTCTGGATAGTACACGGATACTAAGATTTTAAACTTAAATGATATCCTAAATTACAATATTATACATAACTCACTACATATCGAAGATATTAAAATTATTTTATTTGTATATGGGAGTATGTTAAATAACTGTGTTCTGTACTGAAAATGTACGCATGAACTTGGTCTGGGTTTTGTAGTAGTCTTTGATATACGCTAAGTTTCACGTTACGTTGTCCCTCAGTTCGTACATATTTGAGATGTGTTTTTCTGGAATGCCGGTAATTTATGCGAGAGGAAACTCCAATATAAATAAATATTACCATCTGAAGATTTCATGACATGTGTAAAAAACTGTTTACATTTTATGTGTCTGATTGAAAGGTTATTTGAACTGGCAGCAGAGCTGAAGTCTCTTCGCGATTTATTGAGTGTGGCAAGTAAACGGCCGGGGAGATGATGAAGTGAATGACAGGAGACCTTGAACAGTCTGAAGTAAAATAATCATGTTTCGCACACACTCCACACTGCTCAAGCGGAAACCTAACCTTGATGTAAGGGACGGGAAGTCTGTATCTTAGGCACAAACCGTGTGTCTCATATCGACCGTACCCGTTATAAATTCTATTTACTTGCTTATGGAGCTGAGCTCTTCTTGAGGATCCGCCACATCTGCAGCTGCTCGAGAATTTCCCAGCATTTTATGGAACCTGAATGTTCATTACCGTGTTCACAAGAGCCCTCCACTGGTCCCTATCCTGAGCCAGATCAACCCAATTCATACCATCCCATCTTTAAGGTCCATTTTAATATTGTCCACACACCTACCCCTTGGCCTTCCCAGTGGTCTCTTTCCTTATTGCTTTCCCACCAATATCCTATATGAATTCCTCGTCTCCCCATTCGTACTGCATGCCCTGCCTACCTCATCCTCCTTGAATGGTTCATTCTAATTATACTTGGAGAAGAGTACAAATTATGAAGCTCCTCATAAATTCTACACAAGTGTATAATGTTTCATGTTACATTAAAGATTATATAATAGGATACGGCTTATGATTATGTACGTGTTATTTCCGTGGAAACACATGATTTTCACATACTTACACGCGTGCCATCTTTATGTTCGACATCGCGCTATTTAAAGATCTGTCAAGACGTAACGGTATAGACTTGTATTTTGGAGGTGTTTAGTTCGAATCTCGGCAGCGACACCGGCTGTCCCGACGGAGGTTTTTTCAATATATTCCTCACTCCCTCCAGGCAAATTTCTGTGTAGTCTGTTAATTGCTCTACGACCATTTCCTTTCAAATCCTCTTCCCATTCATCATTCATCCACATGCTTACCATTTATCGCTATATAGTCTAATTACTAACTACAGTGAGGAAAAGCATGCCATCAGAAGAATACAGGTGTAACTTAATTTACTGTTTTTAACGTAACACAGACGAGAACTGGGGCGGAAGGGGAAAAGGCTGCCAAAGAGATAACGGAAAGAAAGAGAAAAGGATGAGTGATGAAGATATGGAAGAAACCATTTGCCGTTTCAGAGGGCCTGTTCCAGCGTCGTGAGAATTCAGCAGGCAAATACACGTGCATTTTCCTATGCAGATGTTTCGAAAATGTGGCACAGTTCAGATACATTGGGAACGACGATTACAAGTCGAAACCTGATTCCGGAGAAAATTAAGAGGCGATTGAACTCGGGTAATGCTTGCTACCATTCAGTCCAGAACCCTTTGTCTTCCTGTCTGCTGTCGAAAAACATAAAAGTTAGAATATAAAAAACTACAATTTTGCCTGTGGTTCTGTATGGGTGTGAAACTTCGTTTCTGACATTGAGGGAGGAACATAGACTGAGGGTGTTTGAGAAAAGGGTGTTGAGGAGAATATTTGGATCGAAGAGAGATGAAGTGACAGGAGGTTGGAGAGAACTGCGTAATGAGGAGCTTCATAACGTGTACTCTTCTCCAAGTATAATTAGAATGATCAAGTCAAGGAGGATGAGAAAGACACGGCATATAGCATGAATGAGGGAGAAGAGGAATGTATATAGGATATTGGTGGGAAAACCAAAAGGAAAGAGGCCACTAGGAAGACCAAGACGTAGGTGGCTGGACAATATTCAAACGGAGCTTGGCGAGATAGGATGGGATGGTATGGACTGGATCGA